GCATAAAAAGGATATTTTAGAAATATTGTTAGATCTTTATTAAGAAACAAATATAATTAATTTTATATAACATTTAGTCTTCTGTCTTAGTTAAAGCAGCTTTTGGTAATATTAGGTATTTGTAATCGAAATTAATAATATGGATGTTTTTTCATGAAGTTGCATAGCTCATTGTGATATAGGCTTGACTTTTTGCAAAAATAGATTCGTCAATAGAAGTAGTTATATGAGATAAGGTTAATCCTTGTATTTTGTGAATGGTGAGTGCAAAGACATTTTGGAGTAAAAATTGTTTTCTTGATATTCTTCTTCCGTCTATATTGAAGTAGGCTGTTTTTTTTTGAACATTAACTTTAATTAGGTTAGTAAAGGTAGAGAATGTTACTTTAACGTTTTGATTATCAATAATTTTCATTATGATTCCAATTAAGCTATTACAGATATCATTATTGAAAAGCTTATTATTTAGGAATATAATACGTGTTTCCTCATGTAAATGTATAGTATGAGGTAGATTTGTCAAATGTTTGAAATTGATAATTGAGTGATTTTCACTTAAAATCTCGAAGTCTAGGATATCTTCAGATATAGAGATAAGAAGTTCGCATGTTGTATAATCAAACAGGAGATAAGTACATAAAAGCTAGGTTATGTTGTTAGCAGCTTGACATGTATTAACTATGTGAGTAGTATTGTAGAATTCATCAGAATTGTTACTTGTGTTGATTTTTGATTAAATAATGCTTTTAGTTCTATTGGATAGGTCACCAATTCGTATTTCTTGTAGAATATTATAAAAGTTGAAATTATTATGTTGATGTGTAGAATTTTTAAGAATAGAGAAAAGAAGGGTAACCAGGCCGAAAACTAAAAAATATATTTTGGTTTTACTGGAGGCAGTTGAGCCAAGTCACCTACTACTAGAGTTGGTATTCCTCCAAAAACTGAATTATTGTTATGAATTCTGGCAAAGGTATTGCTAGCAAAAGTAAATAGATTTCCATCTACCATAGAGATTTCTTTTATTATTAATGCATCTATTCTTTTTAATTCGATTTTGTCTTTGTTATTAGAGTGAATTAGAGTTTCATATTTTCTGTCGTGAGATCAAATTTTTAATAATGAGTGTAGTTTTTTCTACCAATGTTGTGAGCTGCAACTTCGGTACAGGCCAGTAGTAAGTATTTTTTTTTGATTGGAGCAAGAAAGTTATTTGATGTAATAAAAAGGATTTTTGGTTCTAGCAGGGCCTAATAAAAAAAAATATGGATATTTTCCTTCTGATGTTTTTCTCTATACATTAGATAACATAGAGTAAATTTGGTATTAATTGGTATTTAAGGTTAATAAGAAATGGGATTCTAAGTAGAGACGGTGTTTTTTTAAAGAGATAAATTGATTAAAAATTAGATCAGACAAATCACAATTTTCAAATTCTTGGATAAGAGAACTTATTATGGAATTATATGATTCAGATAAACAATTTCTCTGTTCAATATAGCTTTTGCGAATTGATTCAATTACTTGACAGTATCTTACAGAAAACATTATTTGAAATCTGTCTCTATATGTTTCAAAATCTCTAAGTAGTTCTTGTTCGAATCTTATAGGAATTTTTATAATGAGATGCTAAAAAAAAAGAGTTCTCCATCTTCTAAATTTTAAATGGCAAATCTTAGTAGCCCTATAAAAAAAGTTTGTTCAGTTATTGTAGGCATTGTCCAAAAAAATGTTCGGAACGGAGTTGATTTTCCGAACAGGGTTTATTTTTGTATTGTTTTCATATCGATGTTTGTACAGAATGTAAAAATAGGAAATTGTTGATTAAAAATTATCGTATAAAAAATGCATAAAAGATTTATGAAAAATATATCAAAACATGAACATCCAATAAACATCCTTTAAAATGTTCAGAATGGAGTCGATTTTCTGAACAAAAAATTAGATAATTTCAGAATTTTCCGAACAATTTCAAGAGATTTTTTTTTATAGGGTAGAATTGGCATTTTTATTGAACAATCAATCTATTCTTGTGGTCTCGACAGTAGAATAAGTTGAACCGTTGGCTTGGTTGTCTAGATCTAAAGATGTAATTGCGAAAATAATCAGAATATATAATCGAGTCAAAGTTTGGATGATTGGGTTGGTCAAAATATTTGTCAATCGCATTGTTCCAATATAGAAGTTCACTGTCATCATTGTTATCATTACTGTCATTATTTAATTAAGATAGAAGATAGATTGGTTTAACAGATCAATATCTAAGTTCAGAGGGTGCAGATAAAAGATAAAATATAGAGACAGAGCATCTTGTTAAAGGGTATTGTAATAACAGGATCATTAGCTCCATAATACCTAATCTTCGTGCAATAATATGTCTCTTGTATTCATCATTTTAAGAAATATTGAAGAGTTTGGAAGGTTCAGGTTTGGTTATATATTTTGTTATATATTTTGCAAATTCATTTGATGTAATATACTGAAAATTTATATGTCCCCTTCAAATCAATAGAGTTTCAGAGTGGTATAGAATAACTATTTTGTCTTTTTGTTTGGTATGATAATACATGTAACGTAAATTATTCGGAGAACAGTATGTTCTTTCCAATAAAGGCTAGAGAAAATCTTTAAAACACTGTTTATCAGTTGAGTCTTGTTCTCTATATCTGTAATCACAATGATGTAGTTGAAATATTATAACTAATTGGTGTAGATCAGATTCTGTAATAGGGTCAAGAATATTAGCTTGAATCGTATTCAAAAAAATTAATTCTTGAGATTTTTTTTCAGTATAGACAAATCCATATGTATAGATTGTTCCTCTATTCTGAAACTCATCACATTCAAAAAAGTGTTCCCATTTTTCCCAGCCAGCTAGATTAGGTTTTTTCCATAATTTGTTACAGATATTATTTAAAAAATTTTGGTAAAACATGTAGTGGATGGTTTGTTGATAACAGGTCATGATTGTCAGTTGATAATCGAATTTCATGTAATTGAGGCCATTTATCTTCTGCCATAGTCATTGTGTAAAAGATTTGAGGCAGTTTGTAAGCTTGTATCATTGTGTTAACTTGATATTGTTTTTTTTTTAAAATATGGAGCAGCAGTTCTGAGGTATGATAGAATTGTTGTAGTTTTCGATTCATCAAGAATTGTATAATTATTACAAGAGCTTGTACTAATCAAATTGGCTCTTGTTAGATGATATTGTTGATTAACATGTCAAGTAAATAGTAAATGATGTTGATTTTGAAAATTTCTTTTTTTTTCTAGAGTTAAATATGATCAGTGTGGCTAGTACCAATGTAATCGAAATCGTGAATCAGGATATAACATTCGGAGTTTGATATATTTACCATAGCTATCTATAGATGGTTGGATATTCAAACATTTTTTATATCTTCATAATGGCCTCGACCTCTGGGAAATAGATCCAGAAATATTAGAGCTTCTAGATCAGGATTATTAAAAAGAATCAGAAGATTTATATTATCATTTGTTAAGATAGATCTGGCAACTAAATGATTGTGATTAGCATCTTGATTATGGATCTTTTGTAGAAATGAAACATTTGGCACTACTAAATTAGGTAGACGAGAAATTTTATTAGGAAGAGCACTTTAATATATATTTGAAAAAGATATACAAATATTAATAGATTGGGTTGTTAAGGGTAAGGGTATGAGTATGATACTTTCTGGTGATGGACAAGTAATGATTAAATTCAATTAGTATTGTCTAATAAGCTTGTTATTTTGTTTTAGCCAATCCGAAGTGGGTATTAATGAATTATGAAACCAATTAGGTGGTTATTAGAATTTAAATAAGCACCAATTGATCCAGAATATAATTGTAAAGACTAATAGTTGTGTATTATTCCTATTAAACCTTCTAAATGTCTATAATTTGTGTAATGATTTGTGCCAGCAGCGTGGCCTAAAGAACAGTTCATGTGAACAGGAAAAAGATATCTTCAATGCATCATGAGAACTTCTTCGATTTCTGAAGTAATGGGAGTCAGAATAGGAGAATAACAACACGTGTTTTAGTTTTTGCATCCATTGCATACAGCAATCTGTTCAATATTTCATTTATTTATTCAAATATACACTAGAATATCAAAAGTGATTGTTAAATGATAAACTTCACTAGGAACATAGAGATTCTATTTTATAGAAGATTTCATTATTAACATTGAACAATAGGCACAAGAAATACACAGATAGTCATATAATATTTTTGTTTGAAATTCATTTAATAGGCATTGATGGTTAACCCATTGAGAGATTGGATTATGATTGAGTAAGTGTGAAAAGTTTAATTCAGTTTGTACCTGATCATTATCAGGAACTGGTTTATTTGGTAAATTTTGATTTATTTCATTTCTGAATATATAAGAATCAAATGAATGATCATTTTGTGGATTTTCTGAGTCAGATTGTATAGCATGTTGAAAGGTAAAAAGAGGAAAAGTTTGAATTTGATAGTTGGATATATTTTTTTTAGAATATTGATTAGAGATAATTAATTGTTAAATTTATGAGTATTTAACAGACATATGTGGGGTGTCAATAGAAACCAAGCAAATTGTTTCTAAGTAAATTTTTTTTAGACTTTGAATTAAAATATCTCAACAACTATTAAACCAAACTTGATAAAAATTTTTTTATTTTAATTCTATATAGTTATAGAATTAAAATAAAAAAAAATTTATCAAGTTTGGTTTAATAGCTATTGAGATATTCTAATTTAAAGTTTTAAAAAAACTTACTAAAAACAATTTGCTTGGTTTCTATTGACACCCCCCATATTTATATGTAATTTTTTAAGATAAATTAGATTTGTTTTTATTTTTATAATTTGGTTAATTTAAATATTTGGTCTGCATTAACTAAACAATTGGCTCATATATCATATATCATAATAATATATTAATTTTTATTTACTCATTTTTTATTTTTATTAGATTTATTTTGATGTAATAATATAATCAAATTTTAATCTGAATCTATATCTTGACTATTAACTATATTATCAGAGTTTTCTTGCACGGCAGGTTCACCAGTTTTAATTTGAGAGAGCACATTTCTAAAATAGTAGATAATGATTTATCTTTTTTGTAGTTTTGGTTTTGGAGTTTAATTACCTAATTTTCTTTTTTTTGAAGATTGAGCATCTATTTTAGCATACTTTTCTTCAATAAAGTTGAGTTGGTTATCCGAATCAGCATGTGGTTTCTCTTTTCCTTTATTAGATGAGGATGAAGTTTGGGATTCATTAATATTACTTGCATAATTTTACTTGATATCAGATGCGATTATATGAGGTGTTCTTTTATATGATCTTATCTTGAATCTTCTAATTAGAAGGCTTCCAGAAATCAGATGATTAGGGTTTACTAATAAATCATTCAAACCCACCCCCACCCTCACCTGCTAGCCAATCAGATTTTACATTTATTAAAATATATAATTAAAATTATATATAATATTTAATATTGAATAACTTT